TAACTGTGAAACTGAAAATTATCTCGGGATGGTGAAACTAGTGAGTTTTAAGTGTATTTCCTACCATTCTTTATGAAAAGGGTTCACCATAAAAGCTTGACTAGCATTATAAATTTCATACAAGAACTTCCTATAACGTTAAATATCAATTCCAGCCTTTAAAGTCACCTCAAATAATGTACATTCACATATTATATTTTATTTCCCCATATTATTTTAATCTTCCCCCTATTATTGGACATTTAAGCTGCTTCTAGTTCTTCACTGTAATAAAAGCCTTTGTTCATACATCTATTATATTTCTGATTATTTTCTTGTAATAGTCCTGACAGAGTTACTGGGTCAGAACTTAAAATAGTCTCATGCTGGAGTGTGTGCCCAGCTCACATCAATTCCCTGTGAGGCTCTGGCTGTGCTATCATTCCCTCTCTGTCCCTAAATCATTCTGATCCAGGAATAGAGGACCTGGATTCAAACTGGCCATCACCCTCTCCCAAAAAAAGAAAGATTTAGAAACTTGACACAGATGCAGAAAAGGTGGGGTCATCTCAGGCAGGGACCTGGGGCAAAGACCTCAGGCTCCTACGGCTGAGTTTTGAGCACCACTCCTATTCCATCCAGAAGCTGGTTTGTGTGGCCCTTGCTTGAGACATGAGCAGTCTTGGAGTACTTTCCCTGAATCTATATTTTGCTTGTTATTCTGGGTTCCTACCTATTGCCCCTAAAAAAGGGAGGGGCAGCACCTGATACTGACAGTGGGCTACATGTAATATACAATGATATCTAGAGAATGGTAGTATTTGGAATCCTTCTGTGTTCTGGGACAGAAATGTAAATGTTCATGGTAAGTGGTAGCCAAGTTTTCTCATCAACCTCTTACTGTCGGCCAACCAGACCTCTTCTCAGAGGGAGTTTCTGGGTGTCTGGATAGCTGTTTCCTAAAAGAAGAGAACAGAGGCTCATGAAGCACCTGGTGCCACAAACCTATGCAGCTAATCCTGGCCCAAGGTCACAGTCATTAAGTGGAAGTAATGTGATTCAAATCTAGGCACCCTCACTCCATAGCCTTAGTTCCTACCTGCTTCTTTATACTCCTTGCCAAATGCAGCTAAGTCTCCTTTATATGAAGAGGAACTATTGCCAAATGTCCCCCAACTATAGAGATGTCGGAGTTAGCAAATAAAAATACAAAATTCCCAGTTAAATTTGAATGCCAGATCAATGAATGATTTACTTTAGCCTAAGTATGTCTCAAATAATGCCTAGGACATGCTTATAATATAAAAGTATTAGTTCATCTGAATTCAAATTTAACTGGACATCCTGTATTTTATCTGTCAACTGTACACAGCCCAATATTCAACCCTCTTTTCAGTATTACTCTCTCAGCAACAAAAATGAATTTAACTTCAGCACATACATGCCTCAAAGGGCGCAGTGCAGAAAAAATTTTGGAGGAAATTTCAGAAATTCAGATCTGCTGAAATCATTGTTATAGTACTCACCAGGCAGTCTCTATTCAATGAGCTAGCCTAGGCAGCCAGCTTTCATTTCAAGTTTGATGACTTGGTTAGTGCAAACTTTTGTTGCATGCTGTCCTACAGTAGGTGACATTGAATCCTGGCCCCTCTATCATTCTGCAGCTTTTCTTGCTTTCAAAGACTGCAAGAACTGGAAACATTAGTTTGGATATATGTATATATCTGGCCCACCTACCTCCCGTTCTCTTCTGTTCCTGGAGCTAAGAAGACTCTTCTTCCCGGGAGAAACAGATTACTGACCCAGGTTGCAGAAGTCTTTTAAAAATGCACATTGCTATCGGGTTTTGTAGGCCAGAGGAGAAGGCAGAGGAGAGAGATGCAGTGAAAATGGGATCCCTAAATTCAGCAGAGTTAGGAGGAGTCATGCTGAAAGCAACTGATTGCAGACTCCAAGCGGGTGTGGTCAGAAATCCAAAGGCAGTGCAATATTCAGGACTCAGGAAATAGTCAGACAAGCAGAAATCTTTGGCTCAAATTAAACATGGAATTAAATTGATGAGCCAGGCTTTTAGTTCTGTTTTTTGTTTGTTGGGGTTTTTTGTTTGTTTTTGTTTTTACTTTTTAATTTTTTAAAATTTTACGTATTTTTTTAATTTAAATTCAATTAGCCAACATATAGTACATCATTAGTTTTTGATGTAGTGTTCAATGTTTCATTAGTTACATATAACAACCAGTGCTCATCACATCACATGCCCTCCTTAATGCCCCTAACCCAGTTTTTTGACATAAAGAACAACTTTCATTCTTCAACTGTCATCAGTATTGCAATGACTAAACCAAGGAACTATTTGAGAATAAGGTATGAATATTCATATATGCCTCTCTCAAGCCTTTGAAAGTATCCTAGGATGTAGTATTACTTTGGATCAACTATTTTGAAGGCATCGGGTTTGCAAAACGCTACCATCTGGCTCTCCTCCTACTCTAGCCTTTACAAAAGAGGTCAGGGAGCTGGTTAATTTGGGGATTCCAAAATTTGCCAAGGATAGACATTCTCATTATATACTCAGAGAAAAAAAATGTGTAGATTATTGTCCTGCAGAGACCAGTGTAAGTAAAGTTAGCTGGCCTACAGGTAGAGTCCAAGAAAATAGCATCCACTTCAATTATTTACGACAGAGGAAATTTAATGCAGGCATCCAGGTAATAAAGGAGTTGGGAAATCAAGGATGAGACAGTGAGAATCTCATGGAACAATAGGAAGTCACTTCTGTGGTGAAGGAATTAATACTATGGGATCCTAGGGATGAGGTCACCTCATAGAAGCTGGAACCCTGACGGGTCTGCCTGTCAGGACCTTGGGCCATGGAAAGAATGGAGCTGGTACCAGAAAAGCTGCCTAACACATTATTACTTAATCAGGTGTTGAGTCTCATTGTAACTTCTGTCCATGTGTTGCCTCCTCACTGGAAGAAATTTACACAGTGACTAAGGCAGTTCTGGATACTGAATGTTATCCATGGCAAATCCCAATAGAATTGCAATAAAAGCTCCTAGATTTTGAGAAGGGTTTGGTTTTCTTTGGCCAAGGGCATTCCTTCAGAAGTTGTGTCTAGGTATATAAATAGTATAGAGTTTATGAAGAAGATACTTGAGTTTTAGAGTCTATGATCAAGGATCCACTATCTACAACAAAGTGTGCCTTCTGGTATTCTATTGAGCAAATAATTTGCATGAGCGGACTGCTTATATACCATTCAGGACCCATTGGCAAGCAGTGAGAAGGAGGTTGAACTGAACTGATTCCACCAATGCCTGGTCACGTTATGGAGAGCCTCTTCTGTAGTGAAGGCTTTCTGGTGAGCATTCACATGGACCATAAATAAGGCGGCCACAGGAGTCTAGATAGACTCTGTGTAGGCTCCACCACACAGCCTTTCCCTCATCAAAGCAAATCAAGCTGTGCCACAGCTGAGTGCTCACTTTGTCAGCCTTAGAGATCAGCCCACGTCTCTGATGTGACATCACACCTAACAAAGACAAGTCAGCTCTTTGCTGGATTATATGTAATTGCTTCTGTTACAGAAAGGATTGTATTTCCCTTCTTCCTGGCTGTGCCTTTGCCAGAACTACCAACTACAGTCTTACTGAATGCTTCATACTCAGTCATTATCCTACCCAAACTGGTTCTGAAGGGAGTTCCTTGATCAAAAGCAAAGAAAGCAAGTCATGGACTAATTCAAATGTAACTCACTTATTTTATGTTTTCTATCAATGATGCCACAAGCCTTCTAACATGGTGGAATGGTCTCTAAAAACTTATCCCTGCAATCTTCCAGGGCACCTTCTACATGATGACATAGCTACTTCACAGAAGACTGGGTAGGCTCTGAACCAGTGTTCCAAATAAGGAACTGTGTCCCCACAGTTAGAAGATGTGGATCTAGGAACCATGGACAGAGGAGGGACTGAGGTATCTAACAATTTTAACTAAGCTACTCTCAGTTTTTTACTCACTGAGGCTTTTAGTATCATTCATCCTCCCTTTTAGTACCTGAGGACTGGAGGCAACATACAGCATGTAACCTACAGTACTACCCTGTAACAGTACTACAGGGTAGTACTGTATGTTACACGTACACTGTATGGAACACATACACTGTATGTTACACACTAAACATCTGTAACATGCCATGTAGTACTTCTAAATTAGAAACTAAGACAGGTCATTTGGGTTCTTCATGCCAGGGGGAAAATGGCAGAAAAGTGGGATACTGTATTAGCTGGGGTGATTGACCATGACTAGTAAGAATACTATGATTACTGCTGTGCAGTTAGGAGGAATATGATAGGAACATAATGGATACCTTTATTTTATATTCTCAGTGGGAAAGGGTAGTGGGAGACCATTGGTAAGATCCTAGGTAAGACCACAAAGAACTGAAACAGTTCAAAGGTCAAGGTTTGGGCTACCCCACTGGGGGAACATAGCTAAGGGACTGCCAGAAGGTAAGGAGATCACAGAAGAGTTAACAGAAAAGGGAAGACACAAATACTAGCTCTGGTTTAGGGAGAAGTGGCAGATAGAAAAACCATGGTCTGTTTCTTTGCTTGATGTATCATGACTTAGAACAAAATGTCTTCTATCTATATTGTATGTAGAGTGTGGGGTTGGTGATGGTATTCCTTTTGGACCATAGATTGAAGCAGAATTTGAGGGGGAATAAATATATCCTAAAGTAGAACCACTCGAAGTGGGGCTCGGCGGGCTGGTGCCAGTGTATGAGCTGTTTATTACTGGTTCATGATGCAAGAAGTATAGAAATAGAGAGTATTTAAAATTACTCTGATAGATTGCTATCTAGATTTCTATGCCTATTGTATATAATAATAAAAAATCAAGGCTCACATTTTATGTTTAATTTCATTTATCTAGCAATTCATCTTTATTATATTTTCCCAGTGAATTTCCCCATGACAGATTAGAAACCAAAATTTACTGTTTCTTTACTGTAGATGGTTTGAGAAGTGCTGATCTTGTTTAGCAGTGCCCTCGTGATATCTATTATTACTGCTGAATGCGGCAACTTCTGGAACTTGGACTGCTTCCCACAGCAAAGGAGGTAAGTAAGCTGGCCATTGTCCATAGAGTATTTGGGTGATGGTAAGTGAAGACAACCTTGGCTACATGTGTTGGGCAGCCAAAGGTTCATGTGTAGAAATATACCAATGAGCTGACTGTAGAGCTCTTAATCTGTTGCCCTCTCTACCTACCGTAGCTGGCTTTCCTAAGAGTAGAAGTATATAACCAATACATGGCCTCTCCAGTTTGGAAAGTAGAACCATGATCTAGTCAGGAGGAAGTTGACTGGAACTGAGTCACTGTGTAACAAAACCTGAGCTGTTGACTTCCCCGGCATTGTCTGCTCTTTTGAAGCCTGGAGGTTCATCCTTCAGTTCTGGAGTTCCCAGTCTCTTTCTAATACATTTCCTTCTTGTTTAAGTCTTAAATCTGTTGCTTGTCACTACAGAAGGTCTCATAGTTTTAAAAGCGTTTGATAAATATTGCCAAATTGCTTTCCAGAAAGTTGTATATCAATGTATACCATCACCAAAGATATGTCTCCAATATCTTTCCAGAGCTGAATATTAAGTGTATATATACATATGTGTATGTTTGTGGATATCTGTCTCTCTATATAACCTGTCTCTATCTATCTAACCTGTCATTCTGCCAGGTTAGAAATGGGATCTTATTTAAAATTTTTTCATATCCTTGAATATTTGAAGATATTTCATATCTTTCATATCTCTGAAAAATTTTTTCATATCTTTGAATATTTCGTATCTTTGAGTATTATTGAAGGTAAATTTGGGAGAGATTAGGTATCAGGACAATTTTATATGCAAGTTTTAGAAACCAAATTCAAATTAGCTTAGACAAAAAAAAAAAAGGTTTGGTTAGCACACATAAAATGGAAAGATACTGGGGTAGTTTACAGAATTGAATTAAGAAGTGTGAGAACCAAGGCCATGACGATGTGTTTATTGGCAGGCATTTCTGTCTGCTCGGGTGCACTCGCCTGCTTGCCATTATGCTCTCATCCTCTGCCTCTCTCTGCACTCCCTGCCATCGATTGATTTCTTTCTGTCAAACAGTTCTCTTCACATGGCAGGAGTTTATTGCTGCCATTAGTTTCAAACATAGTCTCCCGGCCTAGAAGCCGTAGTGGAAGAAAGGTCTTCTCATTTAATGTTCAGAAGTGGTTTGGCCTTTCTTGGGTCCCTTGCCCACTGTTTGGATGGGTTGCCATGATTTGCCACACCTGGATTATTAGCCCGTCCTTGGTTGGAATGATAGAGTAGGACATTGTTGCCAACACAGATTAGCAGCAACCCCCTTCCCAGAATGAAATGAAATGGGGAAGAAGAGTTCCCCTGAAGGCAGGGTAGCTGGGCAGACAGAAATATTCTCTACGCATTTAGCAGGAGATCTTGACTTCGAGTAGATTGATTACATGTTGAAATCAACATTTAAAAAAGACTAAGACAGCAATGGTACATACTAGGGTGACCATATAATTTATCATCCAATCTGGGGTGCTGTAAAAGAGGCTACTATTAATTAACAGAACGCACAGCTAACCCTATCTGGAGAACTGAGAAAGTGGAAGCAGAGAAAGCACTTAGAATCACTATAACCATACATGGTTTTACAATTGCCATCAACACTTGCCAAGATAAAATAGCTTCTTAGAATTGGGGCTGAAACTCCCAAAAAGGTCAAGATTCAAAAAGACTAAAGGGACTATTGGAAGGGACCATTTACTCCTTTAGCTGGTTCTCTGGGGAATGACCTAGAGGAGGTGAGTCACTGATGTCATGTGGAAAGTTTCAGAGTAGAGTGGTTAATAGAGGGCCCCAAAGTCATGAACATGATGTTCTTTAAAGTCCTAACGTTGCATTCACTGTAATCTTGAGCAAGCTACTTAGCCTATATAAACCTCAGTGTCTTCATCTCTATAATGGAAATTATAACATCTCACATGATTGTGTTTAGATTTATGGTGTATATAACATTACTGTATGCTTAATAGCACTGAGATGTTATCTGCTAATATTACCAAAAAAGTAATAAATTCAGGAGAAAAAACTATTTTATAATTTTTTAATTTTTTTTTAGCAGATAGGACCTCCTTGTAAACTTTGTTCATATGGGTTGTTTCATCCATCTTTAGATGTTCACATCATCTGCTCTTCCGACCTGCCAATTCCTCCCACCCAAGATCCCTACAAAGGTAGACAACACCCCATTTTGTGTCAAGGAAGGAGGAGTCACATGACCCCTCATGTCATTTAAGAATGTCTTTCAGCTTGCCACTTGTGTCACTGGGACTTTTCAAAAATGATTTCAGAATTGATAGGGGGAATCTGATTCACAGGATTTTTAAAGTCAGTACACCGTGAGAAGGAGTAGAAGTAGATATGGTTCCAGGTACAGCTCAGGGGGTGAAGTTTGTTGGGAATTAGGGTCACAATTAGAGGGAAAAATGGGGTCAAGGAATGTTATTCAGTGTGTTTGTAGGCATGGGAAAAGAGAAGGAGAGCTGGGATGGGTTAGGGTTAAGGTCTGGGAAAGAGAGGAGAGAACAGAATTGGGACATGGAGGAATTATCAGAAGATGGGTTGATACAGAGGAGAGCAGATGAGGTCATTCATGTTTCTCAAAGAAGGTAGCAGCTGATCTTTGGAAAGTAAGCATGGGAAGCCAAGGCAAGGAGAAACAGTCATCATTCTACAGCAAATCATGCTGGGCCTGGATCTCACTGCCTGAACAGATGAGAACATAAAAAAGATGCCTCACTTTAAAGAATCCTATCATCACTGGTTATAGTCTATTTCTCTGTTTCTCTGTCTCTTTCTGTCTCTCCTCTCTTTTTCTCCCTCCATTCAAACCACCCCTGCACCCCCGCCAGCAGTCTCTCTTCCTTTCTCCCTCCCTGAATGTTCCAGTGTCTTTACTGAACTCAGAAGTCCCCTGGGAGAACTTCTAGCTATAGAAATACGTAGAACTGAGCAGAGGCTGACTTACCAGGTGTGTCAGGGCAGCTTGAACTCTGAGTGGAGCCATGTGTATGAATGAATCAAACTCATGTACTTTGCTTTCAAAAGGTCTACAGACCAGCTTAAAACTTTTATATTATCCCTTCTCTAGTCTTAACTATAAATTCAACACTAAACTTAGAATGTTGAAGTACACATCATTGCATTAGAACTTGTCAAAATCACTCTTTCTACCAACAAGCCAGTCCTAGGTGTGTATTATTAAGTTACTTTACTACCCCATAGCCTTATTTTTAAAGCCCCTTGAAAACAAATATTCTTTTTTTTTTTTAAAGAAATAAGGACAAACAGGGGCCCTGGAGGGTGAAATAGCCAAACTCTTTTTTAGTTATATGAAAGAAAACATCATTTTTGCAAACTACTACTTCAGCTGAGTATCAGTATTTTACTTTTAATGTTGATACTAACAAGAAAGGGGACTTTTAAGGTTAATGTGCTCTGCTGTTAGAAACCTCTTCTTACAAAAAACATAAGGCACTTTAAATTTACTACGATATTCCAATGGCTCATAACTGACACTGGCTTTAGCTCTAAGATTAAATGAGGTTTTGCCACCATTAACAAGAAAATGCATGTCTCTAACTTAACTCTTAACATATGACAAAACTTCTGTCAATATTTTATTGTGATGGGAAGAGAGATTGGTTTTTTTTCATTGATTTTTTTATGTAGACAAAAATGGAACTTCCTGTGTCAGTAGCTCTTCAACAGGTAAAAAAATATTTTTTTTGAATTTTGTGTCACTTTGGAATATTTGGAGATATTTGTAGGGCCGAGTCACAACAGTTTAAATATATTGCTTACTTAGCACAAAGTCTAAAGGTAGAAGATCCAGAACAGCTAGACTCAACAATATCGTTATAAATCCCATTTCTTTCTGACTTTCTATCATCTCTATGATCCTTCTTATATTGGTTTTTTAATCCTCACACTTATTTCTTCACTTCAGGAAGGTGGTTCCCGTAGCTACAGCGTGAAATCTGTGCTCAGGAAGCAGAAGGAAGGGGTTGCCATGAAGTTCTGCTATTGCATCTATCCCTCTTATAAGGACACAACATTTTCCACAGAAATCCTCCCAACAGACCTCTGCTTATGTCTCATTGTCCAAAACAGTGTCCAAAAATTTTTTTTTTCAGTTTGATTTCAGTAGTTCATTTTGGAGAAAGCAGTGCAAGAAACTGGCCACACTCCTATTTCTCTTGGGCTCAGAGTTACAAGGAGGGAAAAGCAGACATACAGACATTATAGTTGGGTTTCAGTACTTGAGTCGTGCAAACGTAGTTAGTTGCTGAACTCAGTTTCCAGGACAGTTGGGAAGTTCTGACTGGGTTCCAACTCTTCACGGTGGTGACGACCCCGGCTCCTTCCCCCTCCCACACAGAGCCAGTATGGCCATCTCATGTACCCTTTCTGGACCCTTCCTCTGTTCTATTGGCTGGAGGTGGCCAAGTCTCACACAGGGCTGAACAGAGGAATTCTGTTAGCAAAGAAGGGAAATGGTACCAGTGTCTACCATAGTGTGCTTTCACATTTTATCTATTTCATGTTATTAAGTTTGCTTTTAAATAATTTCCTTTCACATTTACTTCATTGATGCTTACAGGCTGGCTCCTTTTATTTATCTCTTATAATCCCGCTGGTGGGATCTTTCCAAAAGACAAATCTGACTGACCATTAACTTCCTATTTTCTCAGTGTGTCTTACAAGAACAGTCATGATCTGGCCTTTGCACACCTTTCCAGCATTTTTTCTTCCACATGGCCTGCTTGGTGTTTAGGTTTCTCTTGCAGCTGTATCTTTGTTTTATTGTCTGCCTAGAAAATATCTTCCCTCCTCCACTTCCCTGTACTCCTTCCCACAGGCAGCTTCTCCTTGTCCTTCAAAACCCAATGCTTTAAGAAGCTTTCATTAACACCCTGCCCCCCACTAAGCTCAAGAGATTTCTTCTGTCCTTCCATAGCACCTCATGGGAGTTCCTATTGCTGCCTGTATCTCTGTA